CCCATATTTTTATTCTTATAATTGGTAGCATTAGTAGGTATCTAAGGTTAAATTAAAGCTATAAGACTATATAAGTCTGTTTTTCATTACTGTAACAAAATACCAGAAGCAAGCTAGTTTGTAATGAAAAGAGGTCTCATTACTCAAAAGATCCAGGGAATGGTTCCCACCTCAGCTTAGCACCGGTGAAAGTGTCAAGGTGAAAGGCATCACAATAGCCCAAGCACAAAGAAACACTCACAGCCAGACATGAAGCCAGAGACCTGTTCACTGATCAGGTTTAGACTTTTCTAACAACTCCTCCTCCCAGGAAAACTCAGTCTCATGAGGATGGCCTTAATACCACCAAGGGCATACTCCAGCAACCTGAGGACCTATCTCTTGGAGGTCCCTCTGTCTTTCACATTGCCACATTGAGGGCTGAGCTGCCGCATACCACACACACCCAAGCCACAGCAATGCTGTTGGGTGTTTTCTCGCCACAAGGATTGTAGGTTCTGTGTAGAATAAAAGTTCTGCTTAGTCTCAGGAGCTCTGCACATTGTTCTCAAATGCAAGTCATGTAAGTTATATATCAACTGCTACAAAAATTAAATCTGATGGGACACAATGGTAGGTCCAGGAGAATGAGGCAGGAAGATCACAAGTTTGAGGCCAGCCTGGGCAACTTAGTGACATCCTGTCTCAAAAAATAAGAAGGTTGTAGATGTACCCTACTGGTAGTACTTGCCTAATATGCATGACACCCTGGGTTCCATTACCAGTATCCCCCCAAAAGCCACACTAAAGTCTGCCCAAACTTTACAGTGTTTAAAAAATATGGCCACAGGCCAGCGTTGGTGGTCCATGTGTACTGTCCCAGCTATTCAAAAGGCTAAGTCAGTAGGATGACAAGTTCTAGGCCAGCCTCAGCAACTTAGTGAGACCCTATCTCAAAACAGAAAAAAGGAAAAGGCCTGGGGTTGTAACTCAGTGGTAGAGAGCTCTTGGCTTCTACTCCCAATACCCACCCCCAACAAATGACCACAAATTTTCATGCAGAAAGATAAATGATCCACAGAGTTACACATTTCCCTGTAATTGGCACAAGTAGAAAACAATCTGGAGAGAGTGAAAAAGGTGTTCGACAGAATGAGATGACCATGTTGGAAAGGTTGAATAATTACAGGCATAGACTCCAAATCATCAGACGGGACAAATGAAGCAGGTCACAAGTTAGAATCAATGCTCTTAAGTATTTAATGCCGTTGGTTCATGTTGAAACTTGACCACATGCTAAGTTATTTATGTGGCTGGAGTGTCATCCTACTGCTTGTTCCCCAGGCCCCCTGCCCTGCCGGACATGAGCATATAAATATGCCTTTCAGAGATAATTATCTTACATCTTTTTAAACCTGTAGCAATTTTATAATATGGTAATAAATGTGGTGCTAGTAACACATACGCATAGTAGGAGAAATGATAGCCTCAGCTTCCTTGGAAATACTGGAATATCTGACCCTGGAGTCACATTTCTTCATGCAGTGATCTGGATGGGGTGTCATCTGTATAATGAGAACCAGCTCATTAGGGCTTAGCGTGTGGCAGGCACTGTTCTAGATGCTTTCATTTCTGATCTTCACAATAGTGTTCTGAATGGAAGCACAGAGAGGTTTAGTAATTTTCCCAGGGTTCCAGCCCTGGTAAGTGGGGAGGTGGGATTTTAACCCTGGCTGTCTGGCTCTAGAGTCCATGCTGCTGACTTCTGTTCAGGCTCAGCTTGAGTTTGCAATCATCCTGCCTCTACCTTAGGGTGCTTGGATTACGGGGGCTCACTGTGTAACCAGGCTGGCCTCCAACTTGCAGTCTTCCTGTCTCAGCCTCCCAAGTGCCGGACTTTTAGATGTGTGCCACTGTACCTGGCTCGCAACTAATGTATATGTTAGTAGGCAGAGTTATTTATATGTTAACAGGTAGAGCTTGGCTTCCTTGCATTCCTGCTCATCCTTCCATCCTTAGTTGCCGGCCCTGGGTAGGGAGCCAGTGTCCAGCAGATTTCACTGCGTCTAGTCCACGGGTGCGTAGTGAGCACCCTCATCCCCTTCTGTCAGCCTCCTGATGCAGAATTACCTCCCTGATGGCCCGCAGGGTTAAGACAGCCCTGGGTTACCTCAGCCAGCCAAGTTCAGGTAATTTGCTACACAGAGGACTCTTGTGGGGTCTGCTTCTGTGTGCCACTGGAGTTTTCCAGCTACTTCTAAAGGCATTTTAGGAAACTTTGTTCCAAAATGTTCCTTGAGTGAATAGAACTTTTTATTTCACAAAATCAAGGGTATAGGTAATATCACTTGAAGAAAAGCTGAGGGAACAGGACTCAGAGAGGCTACCTGGGCCCACACTGCTTTAAACCAACATTTGCAGGGCAATTCTGTTGGCCTCTGAGCCCTCTTATGGCTTTAGGAACCAGCTTCTGTAATTAATCTTGAGCTTCTCTCCTGTAAATGAGGAATAGAAGAGTTCCTACCTCAGAAAGTTGTAGCCAAATTTAACAGCCTACCCTCTCATTCACTATAGTGTAGGCACCTCAGCAGTGATACCTATTATTAGTAACAGTAAAAGTGTTTGCCAATAAATTACTAATCAGTTCTCTCCATTTTAACATTTTAAAAAAATCTCCACTTTGGCTAAAGGATAAATTTCTTTTTCATTCTCTGATGTATTAATATAATTATGAATTTCAGGACAGTTTTTCTTTCAGCAGCTTTCTGGGATTTGTTTGTCTCCACCTGCCCTTTCTTAATTCTGTCCCTTTTGTACTCGGTGCTTCTGTCCTCAAGTCACCCTCCCTCTGTTGCAAACAATGCAGATGGCTGCTTGGAAACTCTGCTCATACAAGGCAATAACAGCTACCAAGCCAAGGTGTTTCTGGAAAGAGACAGGCAAACTAGGTTAAGTCTGCCTGTACTCAGCATGTGCAACACGGAGGAAGCCCACGTGGGTTCTCTTGTAAAATGAATCTGGGAAGATGACATGCTTATTTTTGAACTTCCATGCAGTGGAAGATACTCATGTATAATTTGTGTTAAATATTTAATAATGACTTCGTTTAACTCAAAAAAAAGGAAAAACATATAGCCCAGAAAGTAACAAAATCAAGCCTACCATTTTTGTTCATATTTCTTTTCCTTTTTGTCCCTCCCTCCCTCCTTCCTTCCTTCCTTCCTTCTTTCCTTCCTTCCTGCCTGCCTGCCTGCCTTTGATTTGGCTCATGGGTTCAGTCCATGGTCGCTGGCTCCAAGGCAAGCACATCGTGGCAGAAGGATGTGGTGGAGCAGAGTAGCTCAAGTCCTGGCAGTCAGGAAACAGAGCCCTTTGTTTATACTTCAGCATTTCTTGCTATCAAGCTAGTTGTCCTGTGAGGAATGGAGTGGGTCTTGCCTGTTTTCTATTCGTTAATAACAGACGAGGGCTTATTATGTCTCCCCTAGAAATCTTGCCAAGTACAGTGACTCTCAGCTGTGCCCTGGTAAATCTCAGTGGTCCCTAAGTTTGACTGACATTTTACCATAAAACTTAAGTGATGATTAGCCTTTTCCAACTTAACAAAAACTTACACTGATAGTTAGAATCTTCTGTGTGTACCCATGTACATGCTCCCACATGTATTTATTTGTTTATTTAATATTAAGGACATTAATAGTACTTCAACTTTTGAGGAATTTGGGCAATTGATGTCGTAGCACATATAGAAATTGAATTATTTTATTAACACTCATCTGTGCTGCTGCCTCTTATTCTCGCCAACAAATGGATATTAGTGGAATTCCTGAAATAGCTGTTCATTGTGAGATTAATTGCCTCTTCTTCTTGTTCTTCACAAATACGAACTAATGGCTTATAAATGCAGTGCTTTTCAACTCTTTTCATGGCAAGCGATATGTCATATACAACAATAGCTTTTATATGGAGAGCGGGGTGAACGGCCCAGGAGCCTGGCTGCCAGAGGCTGAGGGCTGAGCTTTGCAGTCTGCCTGGTCCCCTCCACGTAGGCTGGGAGGCTGGGATGGTACACTGTGGATGTCTGTGGTCCTGGTTTCTGCTACCATTGTTTCCTTGATCTTACGATGGCAGTAACGGTTGAGCTAACCACCAAGGTCTGTTTCATATTCTACAAAAGAGCACTGTTCCTCTCCAGCTGGTCTCCTTCCTGAGGAACTTGTAGAAGTAGAAAGAGAAGAGTAAACTCGGCAGGGTGTTTGCTGCGTGGGTGACTCCGGTCTCTTCTTTCTCTGTGCCTCCTGCTGCCTGATAACTTCCTGTGAATACTTTACGCAGACTTCAGTGCCTTGTTGGGTCAGAAGAGAAGACACATCAGACAGTACGGCCTTTGTACATTTGTGGAAACCTCCTGGTTGTACTGAGCTGGTCTGCTTCTTAGTGCTGGGAACTCACTTGCCCGGTGTCCTTCTCCACTGCACTCATTCCTTTCCCCTGCTGTCAAAGCACAGGCAGGCACACGTAGGTATATGAACTTCAAAGCGCTTTAAAGATACTTTCCTCCTCCTATTTGCGCTTAAATAAATTATTCTTCCTCCACTCCGAGTGTGTTGTGGAACTGTGATGTGCTTATTTAGAAATGAAACAATAACAACAACAAATAGGACTAAATCCTGCAATTCACAAATCCTGGGTTTGCTCCTTAGAATTGCCACTTAATCCATCATAGTGGGCAGGTTCAGCGCTTTGCTAAGCTTTCTCAAGAAAATGGAACTGGTGATGCCCATCCCATTTCCCTCTCGGGACTGGTCTGAAAAATGAAAGGACATTTCATGTGTGAAAATGTTTTGTGCACTCTAACAGCACGAGGTAACTAAACTTGTCATTGTGTTACAATCGTCCCACGAGTCCTCCAACTCAGTGGCAGTTGCTGGTTCCCAGCTGAGTTAGAGGTGTGTAGTAGCTCTCATGCTGGAAAAGTTGACACCTGTTCCCCCTCTGCCTTCCCTCCCTCCCTCCTGCAGAGTAACCTGGTACACTACCTGGGCCTGAGCCATCATCTGATCGCACTGAATTTTATCATCGTTTCTTTCGGCAAGAAAAGTGCGTGGTCCTCTGCCCAAGTGAAGGTGACTGACACTGACTTTGATGGTGTGGAAGTCCGAGTGTTTGAAGGTTCTCCAAAGCCCAGCGAGCCGCTGAGACGCAGCGTCATTTATATCCACGGAGGAGGCTGGGCCTTGGCAAGCGCAAGTATGTCCTGGTCACCTTCTGATTGTTTGGTGTTTGTGGCTGCCCCTGGGGGGACATGGGATTGATTTTGGCTTTCTTAGTAGGTACGGAGTAGAGGGCATTTGTCCTGCCTCTCTTAGACTATCCCAGTTAGCCTCTGCTACCCCGGTAGAATATTTAATAGTGCTTCTTTTGCACTCTTAGAGGGATCCTGTTTGGGATGGTAAATTACATGATTATGTGATGTAAATAAAGATTTTTCTTGTTGGTTTGTTTCTTAATGCAGGAGGCTGTTTTGAAAATACTCTCTCTGGTCTAAAATCACAGACTTGTTTTGAAGTGTTGATATTAATAGCTTTCTGGACCCAAACAAGGTGACATTCACTAGTCTAGAATATGAAGGAATTATCTGTAGCTCTTTTGCCAACTTGTGCTTTGACGACATTTTTCCATAAAGTAGAGTAGGTATTTCTTAATTCAGATGTTAACTTGTTGGCATCTTATCAGCTTACACAACTAAGCATTAAAATATAGAAGGCATGTAGCCGTTAAGAGGAAACAAACTTGGAAAGTTCAAGAATGTTATCTTTAGAGTTGGATGTGGTTCATGAGTGGGAGAGGTTTGAAATGGCAGGATGCCAAGCAAAGCAGTCCACGGCAAAGTCAGGACATCAGGACCTTGTCTCTGCCTGTGGAGGGCTCGGAATCACTTTCTCCTCTTCAGCCTAGAGCTTTTGGCACCCGCTAAGTTTAAGACAATGGAAACCTGTGTTTATGATACCATTATATGATTTTTCTAATGCAGGAAAGTTCAAGAAAGTATAAATTTCTCTTCCAATCCCATTTTATTTAGCTCATGTCTTTCACTGATTTGTTCAGATTGTCAACAGTTGTTCACTGCATATATAGAGATGGGCGCAAGACTTGAGGGGGTTTGCTGAGTGCAGGACTTTTAGCGCCAAAACTCAAGCAGTTGTGAGCAGACATAGACTGTAGGTCACCCTAATGTTACTAGGGACTGAGACACATGAATGGGTAGCACAGGGTCTCTGGCATGGAAGAGATTGTCTCTGTAGCATCTGACCCTTGCCAGGTGAGATGTAGCATTGGAAGACATGAAGTTTAGGTACTGGGGTGGTGTGGATTACAAGAGCCAACCTGGCCTTGTCTACATAATTTTGATTGATTATTTCTGCCAGAGGAAGAGATGGCCTGGAGGAGGTATGCAATTCTTAAAATATCTGCTTCTAAAGTTACGTTGGAAAGCCTGTGAATAAGGATACATTAGACTCTCTGTTGGCACAGTATGAATCTTAATTTATTGGAAGAACAATTAAGAGATTAAATTCTTACACATTAAAATTGGTTCTGTAAGCTGGGTGTGGTGGCACACGCCTGTAACCCCGGAATTTGGGGGAGTGAAGCAGGAGGATTGCTTTGAGTGTGAGGGCAACCTGGGGTACATAGTGAGCTCAAGGCCAGCCTGAACTACATAGTGAGACCCTGTCTCAAATAAAATAAGATAAAGTTGGTTCTATAGCTACAGACCTTTGATTCCTCCTAGGAAATGCTAAGATTTCCAAAATTCTAGTGCCTTGTGTGTTGGTTTAAAGAAAAGAACATATTCTTCAAATTAGCAAGTTTCTGAATCACAGCAAGTAGGCTGTTGAAAAGAAAATTTCATGATTTGAAAGAGAAAGCTGCTTATTTGTGATCGTTTTGAAATGTACACTCATTTGAAGAGCTACAAAATCAGTTAATTTTTTTCATTTCATTAGTTAAAAACATATTCAAAACTAATATGTTTCCTTTTAGTTATAGTTATTGAATTTTATCAGAAATCTGAATTTTTGCATCCACATGTATAACTATTAATGAGACATTCATGCACATTTGCTATTATTTTTTTTATTACTAACTCTAAGTCTGAAAATAAACCACACTTAGCAAAATTTAAGAATGGACAACCTTAATGACTCCTTCAGGAGTGACTGATCACCCCTTTATCTCTCGTAGAAATCAGGTATTACGATGAGCTGTGCACAGCAATGGCAGAGGAGCTGAATGCTGTCGTTGTCTCCATTGAGTAAGTAACTTACTCTAGTCGTGAGAACTTTTTTAGTAAGAAGAGAGTCTACGAGCTGGGCGTGGTGGGGCACACCTGTAATTCCAGCACTTGGGAGGCTGAGGCAGGAGGATCCTGTGAGTTCAAGGCCAACCTGGGCTACATAAGTCAGTTCAAGGCCAGCCTGAACTGCATAATGAGACCCTGTCTCAAAAAGACAAAAAATAAATAAATAAATAAATGGAATAAAGAACATATGATCTAAAAACATTTTTTTAAAAGAGAGTCTAGGTAAAGGTTCAGTAACTTTATTTTTCAGGTGACAAAATGGAGCATAAAATAGAGCCAGAGTACGGTGGTCCACTCCTGCAATCCCAGCTACCTGGGAGCTGAGGCAGAAGGGTCTCAAGTTCAAGGCCAACCCGGGAAACTTAACAAGACCCTGTCTCAAAATAAAAAAATAAAAAAGGCTGCGGTTATAGCTGAGTGGAAAAAATCATGAATTCAATCCCTAGTCCTGAAGGGAAAAAATAGTGTAAAATAAAAGTCCATAAATGGAGAGGTTTGCCCGAGGTCACACTCCGAATAATCAGAAAAGAATGACTTCAATTTTGATTAAAATGTCTTGAACTAGCTTTAATAACACCATGAATTATCTTCGTATTTTAGTTTCAAAAGGAATTAAAAGCTAGATACACGTACCTGCTTATTTGTTTCTTTTCCTTGGTTTTTTGAGGCAGGATCTCACGAAGTTGTAGTGCACACTGACCTCAAACTCGCAGGGAACCTCCTCCCTCAGCCTAGCAAGTGCTAGGGTTTATGAGTGTACATCAGTACACCCAGTAATTACCTACTTTTTTAAACTAAAAAGTAAACAAGATGTTAAAGAGAATCTCTCCCACAGCCAAGAAATGGAAAAATTATTATCTTAGAATTAAGTTCTATAACTTGGACTTTATGAATAGCAATGAATATTTTTAAAAATCTTAATATATAATTATTAGTAATAGTAAACATTTTAATATTTTGAGTTGTCTCTACCAGTACTTTTTAAGCCACTTTTTTGGGCAGCTAGGAAGAATGGGAATGAGAATAATAACCCTCTCAGATGCTAAGGCCAGAGGATTGCATCCTGGCAACTTAACACCTTAGCAAAACCTTGCCTCCAAATAAAAAAGGAAAAAGAGCTGGGGATGTAGCTCAGTGTGAAATCCCTGGGTTCAATCCCAGTACCACAAAAATTGTATCTATCTATACCTACATATCTTTATCTATCATTTTTACCTGTAATATACCTATAGCTATGAAAAAAAAGGAACTAGTCATCTAGATGGGGTAGGGAATCTGATCCAGGCCAGATTGCTTCCAAGATCCCCATGCCCTTTTGATCCAGTACCAAACCAATATTGGCAGAAGTGGATAGCACTGAGTGACGGGGTCCAGCCGTACCACGTCATCCATGTTCCCGGCCCCAAGCTCGTTCAGGTCTCTGCTTCCCTCTGCCCCTCTCTCAGATGCTCTCGCATCGATGGCTCACCTCTCTTGCCTCTGCTCTGGATCTGAGATCTTATCTTTTCTTCTGTGGTCTATTGGACACTGTTCTCTGGGGACTTTAGACCACTCTGATCTTGTGACTAGAAGCCCCACAGTCACATGGAGCGGTCTCCTGGACACTAGCAGCTCTGAGGCTTTGTGTGCTGTCACTCAGCCTCCCAAGTCACACAAGAGCTCTCAGTGAAGTTTGGTAACCCAGGAAGCTTCAAGGAAGTGACCGTGTCTTCTGGCCAGGACGGCTGACCAGAAGAAAGCCGGTGCTGTTTAAGCAGGCTCACCCTATTATGAAGCAAAGCCTCCAGCTCAGTGTGGAGGGACATACTTCCGGGTCCTTCAGTGCTTTTCTGTGTTGCTCTAGCTCCTTGCAGGACTGAGAAAGGGAGGCTGGACTTGTTTCACTTGGTACCGTGAGTGAACCTTGTTTCAGATAACCTAGGATAATCTTATTTTACACTGATAGAGTTATTTTATATTCATAAACTTTGGTGCAGGTTAGTTATAACATTTACATCTGTCTCAAAGCAAAACTGGTGCTCTCTTTTGACTCTAGGCTCACCATGAAACACAGAAGGGTGGAGAAGATGCTTTTTAAGATTTTTTTTTAAGGAACTAAAATTTAAAAGGGATGCAGCTGTCATCTGAACGTCCCACTGTGCCTAATCTCTATAATGCAGCACCCAGAAGTTTGTCTGCTGGGAGGTCCCACAGTACAGGGGTCAAGTACGGTTACCTGGTTGTGTGACCCTCCAGCAAATCACTTACATCTGTGTACAACATTGGTTTCAGCATCCTTTCGAATGTGACTGCTGGGAACCAAACAGAAATCTTACTTTCGGGTCCTCAGCACCTAGTACGAGGATTAGCACATGCCTGCCAAGTAAATGCCTATTGAGCTGAGAAAATAACTTTAGAGCACTGTGCCAGGGATAAGTTTAGACAATCAATATAAAAGGGCTTCAGATGCCCTAAAGCACTAAAGCACTAGGCGAGTCTGAAGGATTAGTGTTGTAGCTTGTAGGAAAAAAAGATAATTTACAAACCACTTAGCAGCACGTGTTTGGAACTCACAGCACATTCTTGTTCTTGGTTAGGGTCCAGCCAGCCACAGAGTGCTGCAACCTGGCCCCAGTGCAGACACAGCCAAGGTCATTTGGTCACAGTGTTTCTCTTGAAAAGAATGTTCGGCAGTCTCACTCAGGGACATACTGTCTCTCACCACCTTCGGTCGTTCTTTTTCATTGTAATCCATGAGTACTGATTGCGCCCCTGTTCTGTGCCAGTTACTGTGTTCAACTGCGGTGACATGGAGAGTAAGACTTAATTGCTGTCCTCACAGTGTGGGTGAGAAGAGATGCCTTGAACACAAGGTGTTCACTGTGATGCGTGGTGGGAAGGAAACGGGGAGAAGGGATGGAGGCAGTCTGGCCTGAATTCAGTTTCCTGTCCCACCTAGCAAGGTTGTATCTAGTTTTAAGGGTACAAAAGGCATCTTAAAATCCTGCTTGCTTTGATCCCCCGGGGATGAACAGAACCTATTTAGACAAAATGCATTGGTTCTGCACGTCCACAGTGGTGCAGTGAGAGGGCTGGGGAGGAAGGAAGGAGGCAGAAAGCATGGGAAGTGAGAGAAGGCGGATGAAAGGCCTTATGCTTCCGGTGGAACATGGCTCTGAGAGTCTTTAGGTGCACGGGGACCCTTGGGCGCTGCTCATTCCCCCTCCTCCCAGCAGAGAAGCTGTCTGCCTCCAGCTGTTCCTTCTCCCTGAGGGCTGCAGCAGTGCACGTTATGGTCAAGGCCTTGTGGTATCATCAGTCGTGGCCTCAGGGAGCATTATAGTCTAAGGGAGCTGATCAGCATGGGTGCGGGCAGTCCTGGTCATGGAAGCCTTTCATGTGATGTGAGCACCAGGAATTGGACTCCTTCCCTTCGTGTCACCAGTGCTGGTTCCAGGGTTTAGGGACAGACTTGGCAACTGAGGCAGGTAAAGTCCTTTAGTTATACAGAAATAAGTAAATGCTGTTTCTGGTGCTTAGCATCTTCTATAACATTGCTCTCCACTAAATGTCCGGGAAATACCTGGAAAAAGTTCGCCTTATCTGAGTTACATGGGTGTACCTCATTCATACAGCCCGGGATCATCTTACTTTACACTGATAGACTTCTTTTATATTCATGAACTTCAGTGCAGGTTAGTTATAACCCAGTGCCTTTTTTACTTCTAGTTTGTTAAGTAAAACACAATACTAGAGCCATAAGGCAGAAAGGACAAGAAATATTTAGTGTCTTTTTCTTTTGGGGTTTTTTTTTTTTTTTTTTTGGTATTTTTGAGACAAGGTCTTGCTGTGCAGTTCAGGCTGGACTTGAGCTCATTTTGTAGCCCAAGCTGGCCTCAGACTCCCAGTGATCCTCCTGCCTCAGCCTCCCGAGTGCTGGGATTATATATAGGTGTGCGCCACCATGCCTGGCCTTAATGTCTTTTTTTAAAAGTAAAATGCAAGATAATAAAGTGTTGAGTATGTTGGACACTGTTAAATTCTACAAGAGATTTACCTCCCTTTTGTCAGTGTGGAAAACTATTTCAAGTTGTGTTTCGCTTTTAATTAAATTTTTACTGCATTTGTAAGCTGTTTTACATGTAAATGCCTTAAACTTAGTCACATTCCATCAAATGTCAGGGGTCACCTGATGATTAAGAGAAGAATTTATGTCTTTAAAGAGCTGTAAGGAAGACTGTCCGGTGATGCAGACAGAAATGACACTGGAGTGCTGGGCTAAGTTTGATGCCCTGGAGTTATAAGCAGTGGGACTTTGATGCTTCCGGTTTATTCTGTCTATAAAATCAAACAAGTGCAAGAGCACAGAGTCACGGTGCTTCTGTGAGGCACAGTGGAAGGCTCATCTGCATTAGTAGTGGTACGTTTAAGACAGTCTGAAAAATAGGAAATAACGGTGACCTTATTGTGAATTTCCCCTTTCTCCTTGTCCTGCTCTGCCTCGGAGTCCTGAACAGAGAACCCTCACTTACGACCTTCATTCAGATACCCCAAAGGTGGGCAGATTGAATTCTGAAGAGTTTCACTTCAGGCAGGTGCTGTGCTGCTGAGCTGTATCCCCGGCAAGAGTTTCACTCCAAAGCAGCAGAGGGTTTGCTCAAAACATGCCTCTCACTCAGTCATGCCAACCATAGCAAACCTAAACAGCATCGCAGATAATTTAATACTATGGAGAGAAAATGCTATGGCTTTGTGTTAGCCACTTTCCTATTGCTGGAGCAAAATACTGAGATCTGCAGCATAAAGGAGGAGAGATTTATTTTGGCTAATGGTTTTAGTGGATTAAGTCTGTGGTTGGTTGACTCCAAGGCAGAAATGCCAAGATGGAAGGCATTGGAAGGCATTGTGGAGGAAAGCTGCTCAACCCACGGCATCCAGGAAGTAGAGACAGAGAGAAGGGAGGAGCCAAGGAT